GAGGAAAATAAATAAAAATAAACCCTCGCCCAAACGGACAATAATTTGGGTCGATTCGCCCAAACAGCCTATGCCCGAGGCATTTCGTGGACATAACTAATCATGTTCGTAAAAAGATGCTGCAAAAAAGAAACAATGCATCATACATATAGTGATGAATTTATGTATGAATAAATTCTAACCCTACACATATATATAAATCCCTTATGACACATGGTTTTTTTGAACATTGTATTTACAGTTTTATACGTTACAAAAATATGTAATGCTCACAAAATATTTATGACTATACATAAGAGGTATATACATGCCATTCTATATACTATGTAAATTGTATATATAATATTATACTCGCGCATAACTATCTACACCAGTGGCGTGGCGAAGTGAAATATTTTATCGGGCAATTCATTTTTTGAATAACCTACCATCCCTTAATTCTTACACAGTACCCGCTACCCATGACCCATGTGCCATACTATATACAACAAAAAAGTACCTTTATTAAATCAATATAAATTACTTTATTTTACAAACGGCTGAAACCTGGATATTTCCGAGTTTATGATTCTAAAAATAGATTATATCGCAATAATATAATATTCTCAAGATGCTTATGCCGGAATGCCTATGCCGATGCCCTCATAGTCACTAGCATAATACTATAATTTCTTATTTTAATTTATTGCTTATTCGTAGAATGTGTAGTATAATGTGTAATTAATAATATGTAGGTATACTATTAGATAACTTTTCTTAGCATAATTATAACTATTGAAGTTATTATTCTTATTAAATAACAAATTAATTCAGATGATGTAGTCAGGTAGTCTTGTATAATAATATTTCTTACTAAATCCAGTACCCACCAACCCAGCACCCACCCCTTAAAAATGATCGGGCATCTGCCCTTCAAAATCACGGTCAACACGCCACTGATCTACACCCACCCAAATTGTTATGGGCCAACCGATCGTCAAAATCAACACGCCACGACCAGTGAACAGGTTTTCTATATGCACTTATACATATTATTATATAGCATAAAATGATTTACATATATAATATATACTATTATAAATTATTTCAAGACGTGTATTATACTTCTATATAGTATTGAGGTGTAAACAGTAAACACTTTAAGTATATTATATATATATCTATTATGTGAAATTCTTTTACACACAACCCACGGGGACGAGTTTGAATTAACGATACACAATGATTATACAATGTAGGTATACAGTATACTCATTACCCGTAGGTATCATAAGTAGTAAGATAAAATATATACTGTATAATATATATGTTACATCTTACATACATATAAAGGTGTAACAGCGATTTCGCCGAAGAATAAACTATTGATAAAATCATCCACCGTATGTAATATATATATTATATATGTATATATAAAGTGAAACTGCAGTTACAGCAAAGTGCATTACAGATAACGAAAATTATAATATGTAGTAGCGGAAAAAAAACTTCGAGTGTACTTATATACATGAAATGAAAATCATCTTCCTGCTGATCGATATCATAGATACGGCGGTGGAAAATCGCTGAAAAACCATTGGTGTTTGGTTTTCGCAATAACGCACGTAGGTATAGGTACTTTTGCTCCGCATACCATGTACCTACACGTGACGTTATATCATTTTACGGTTATCGTTATAATATTATAACGATCGTTGTATAGTGGTCAACGGGTGGAAGTAATTACGCGTCGGACGCGAAGAGAACTATATTATAGGTACAATGGGGAGCAGTAGGCGTATTTAATAATAACAGTAGCAACAATAATGCCACGAGAATGGGCCATCGGCGCGGGGTGTTCGTGGTGCGGTGGGGATGCGATCGCACGTCATCATCTGCTGCACTGGCGGCGGTGGCGGTGGCGGCATTTCGACAACAACGTGCAGCGCCGCTATATAGTAATGATGTACGCGTGAACGTGACGTCACTGTGCGTCGGACGGTGCACGCGTAGGAGAGAGGAGTTTGGTGGCGTAAGGCGAGCGAGCGAGTGAACACGCGCGTGGACGAGTGTGTGCGAGCGAGAGGGCGTGAGTAGTCAAGGATACGGCGGTGCGTAAACAACGAATTTCTGCGTGTCCCCTTCGCCTGCAGTATAAATAATAATAATAATAATAATAATAATAATAATAATAATAGAATATAATATCCGTACACCATGTACGCCGCACACAGAGGATCGAGACCCCCCTCCGACAGTTGCTCATATGAAAATTACACGTATACGTCATGTATATGTATATTGTATATATATATATATTATAATATATTCTTGTATTAAGGTTTTTAGGCGGATTTTACTGAAGGCCGGAAGGCGTTTACCCTGTTCATGACGGGTATTATGTGTGTGTGCGTGATGTGCGCGCCCATGTGAGTGTGTATTATATGGTGAGGGTCGTGTGTCCTCGTGTAGTATGCAGTCGTCGTGCCCTTATAATGAGCACAATATACGCGGACAAACGTATATCGATCGATATCCGTAATGTTTTGTGCTTGCTAGTGTGTGTGTGTAAGTGTGTCATCGATATACAATATATATATATATATATATATACGTATACGTATATGAATTGCGCGCGCCCGTGTGTATTGCACACTCGTCTCTGTATATTATATGGAATATAATCATATAATATGTATACATAGTTGTGCAGTCTATAGGGAGCACGAGGGCTTTATAACGAATAACTTTTTTCAAGCGTTGTAATGATGTATTCGAGTGTAATGACTATCAGTCCCCCGCGACACTCATCGTACTTTCGATTACGCGTCCGGGTTCGATAATAATAATATGACCGTCCACAACATTATATATTGTTTGCGTAACAATAATAAAAATTGGTAAATCGATTAATGTATTAGGCAGCATGAGTAAATCGTTCGACGATCTATACCGGCCACATACCGCCGTGATTCGTGGAGCGGGATCATTTGTAGATAGTTCGTTATACGAGTACACCAATTTATAAACATCAGTTATCTTTATAGCATTATACATTTGAAACATTACTTAAGATTACAAATATCTTATCGATGTTAAATTGTTATAGCAATATCTACTTTTTATGTAGGTACACTTGTATCTTAGTTTTTGTCGAGTCAAAACAATTTCGATTATCGCGGTTCAATATTACAAAAAATAATGTCACTTGAAAAATGTTTTTCTATAAAATTATTTTTCAGGATGAGATAAACATTAAACATATGTTGAGGTATTATATCAATTTTGATAATGTTCCGAATATGATATAGCTATTATGAAATGTACGTGCTTTTATGACGAATACAATTATTTACTTACTGTGTTTTTAATCAACCAGTTTATAATATAATATACTGCAGTTGCCTTATTTAATTTTTTTTTTTTTAATTCGCATATTTCTATACAGGCTACTGCAAACCCTTCTTATCTATTTTTCTATTTTTCAGGTCAGCCGATTCAAGGAGTGGACCAATAACCATGTTATAATATTGTATTTTAAGCACTTAAATGTCTACCTTATACGATAAAAATAAGTAATAACGTCAATGAAAATATATAACTAAATATATAGCCAAGTTTATAATGTACAGTCAAATATTTTGTTTTGTATTAATCTTAGTATGTCATAAAAGAAGTTATATATTTGATTTTTTATACTGCAGTTTACAGATATAAGTAATATTGAAAAATGTAAGCACTAAACACTTATATAACGTTATATTGGATTTAATGAAAAGTATTTTCATTTATTACCTACATTATTTGTATGAATATGTTAAAGTTTTTGATTTTTTTAGTTTTATATTTCTATATATTCTACCGTAAAGTACAAATTTTTATGGTGTAATAATGTTAATCACGTGTTGGACATATTTTTTTTGGAATTCATACATTCTTATAGGCATAATGAATAATCACGTGAAGGGCAATTGTGGTGTCGTTGATTAATTTGTATTTATCTATTTACAAACCAGGCTGATATGATACAGGAGCCATAAATTTATCTCTAATATAAATTACGAGGTATATCTTTGTCAACTAGACAGTTATTAGATATATACATACATAATTGCGAAATAGTAGCCTCGTAATATATAGAATGCTGTCCTTCCGAACTGAAAGACGCAAAAAAAATGATGTACATAAATTTATGTATAAAAAATGTACATCTTTAAATAATTTCAGTACGAGTCAGTAACTGTTAATAAATAACACACGTATATGATAAAACGGCTCGAAACACTAGTTGTTATTCAATGCGTTGTCATTTTTTTTGTCTCATAAACTGGTGCAAATTAAATATTAGATATAGATAAATTATGTATACGTACATATGCAGCCACTACTTATTAATTTTTCAACGTTGGTATTTAAATATATACACAAATACGCAAATATTTATATTTAAAGCTTTGCGGGAATTTATAACATCATTATTTTTTCACTCTCTGAAAATTCGATAAATTCACTCTCGACTGAACAACAGTGAACACATGCAATCACATGTGTAAACAATATTGTGCGAAAAAAAAAACATTTACGTCAGCACATGGATTTGCGGCGTATGGTATTATAGAGCGTGAATATTGTGTTTTCTTTTATGTACTTACGTATATATAACCAGGCAAACAATAATACTTACTTGCATGGTAATATACTGACGTGTGACAATGCTCTAAAAATCAAATTAATCGGCACGGCACACCAACATAATTATTAATAATATAAATGGATATTAACACTATGTAATAAAAACGGTTAAACGGCAGTATATACCTATATATACGTATATATATATATATAATTTCTCTGGTGAAATCAGTGGTCAGTGCCGTTTAGCACTATAAACGTGGTATCATCATACAGAATGTAACACGACAACAACATAATCTGGTAATACATAATCGTATCACTGATAATACTTGTATGACAAAATACAAAAGATATCCGTGCTCAGTTATCAAAACATCGGTGTAACCGATGTAGTACTTAAATCGTTGTACTACACTGTTCACCGTTAAACTTCACAATGACTCCATTCGGTATCATTCTAGTAACTGCTGTGTTCTCTTCCCAGGTACGTTAAAACGAAACTTTAATATTTCAATATACATATTATCTATATAGCTTAAGTGTTATTTTGATGTATAAGATTTATAGGTTAGGTAGGTTAACCTAACCGACATGTTTAGTGTTTTTGTTTAAAGGTGTAATTTTATAAGAATCAATTTTATAACTGTTAGTATAGGTATGTTTCTTAAAAAAAATATAATACTGCAAGTAATATAATAGGTATTACTTTACATTAATTTAAATATGTCTAAAATAAACTAGTAACTTCTAATTCAATATTCATCATAACTTCATAACTTCCGTATAATAAAATAAATAATAATATACCTAGTATATATTTAGATGTTATTAATTTATTATATATATATATTATACAACTAAATCATAGTTCAAAATCTAAACTTTTACATTTATAAAATTATATTACTTTTTTTTAAATGGTTCATAGAACAATTTAATAATACGATGTGAAATAAAATTAAAACTATATATGCACAAATAAATTACTAAAAAACAATTATTATACTAAATGTTTTTACTATAATTTCATTTTAAATAAAATTAAATGTTGAATTGTTTTTTTTTTTTTTTGGTTTATAAAGTTTAACGTAAGGAAGTATACAAATTTTCATATTGCCATCGAGTCGGTATAATACCATATTTGATAGATGGATTTAAGATAGAATTTGTTATGACAATTAACTCATCAGTGTAATGACCAATTTATTAGAGATTTATTTTAAATTAAAATTGACAATTTATAATATTAAACATAAAATTATTATTATACATTAAGAACTAATTAGATTTTGTAGCAAAAATAGGTGAGCCATGTGTACATTCAATGGTATAATTATTAATTAGGTAGGAACTTTTTCTAAGAGGATGGGAAGATATTATTATTTTAAATTGTTTAACATTATAACACCATAATAAATAGGATACTCGTGTATTTTGATTTATCTTAAATAATATAAAGAAAAATTTGTACCTATAACTCTTCATGGTAGAAGTATAATACGGTAAAATATGCACAATAAAAATTATATACGTAATATACTTTATACAAAAAATAAATATATTATCTAATAAATTATAAGCTTTACAGTAACAGCATACCTACACAAGTAAATTTATATTTTAAAATTACAACTATAAAATCTTTATAAATATTTATAAATTATTTATATCATAGTTTATTATTTATTAGCTGTAAGATTTTTTTGAATTCATTTAATTATGTGTTTTTACAACATATGTAATAAAAATTAAAAACAAATTTAATTTGTTTAACAAAAAGACAATTAAAAAAATTAAACTATAAATAAATAATTGTAATTAATAGTTAAAATCATATAACTAGACATTGGTATAAATAGGCGTAATATAATATAAACATTATAAATGTCGAAATACCTACTTCTGGTAGCTATATAATTTTCAATGATTTTATTTAATTGCATTAATTTTAATTGCTTTTATCAAATTACCAATATTAAATGTTATAAAACATAATATATTTAGAAAGAAGAATACAAAACAAGATTAGTAAAAAAAAAAAAATTCAACATTTATTTAATTTACTTATAGATACCTACGTTGTGCATAAATGTACTAGATAGGTATATTGTGCATATTTATTATTTAAAAATAATATATGCAATAAATTATGTACAAATTTAAACTCTAAAAACGTGATAAATATTTTAATTTTTATCCTTGTAAATTTAATATTGTAGATAATTAATTTACTTTTACTATGTATTAACCAATTATCATTAATTTTTAGATTTCTTCAGGCTAAATAATTTAAATATTTAAATCTAATTACTAATTTTTGAAAATGTTCAGTAATATGGCTACCTATAGGTTGCCTATTAATTAAAAAATATATATTTCTAGAAATTTATTAATATATAGGGTGTTTCATTAAGAACGCCGGATTTAATTTCGTTATTACTTTATTAATATTAATTTTTAAGAACAAAAAAATTATATGAGCATGAAGTATACACACTCTGATTTATGTATGGAATATAATATCTGGCATATGTCTACCTCTGCTTCGCTGACAAGCTTCAGTTCTGGCCACAAAAAAAAATATCCTTAAGTTCTTCAATGGTTCGCGGTTTATTTTCATAGACGTGAGCTTTAACGTAACCTAGCGTAGGGATAACCGATGATATTTACAAAAAAAAAACAGGTCAGCCAACTCGCAATTTAAATCCGGCGTTCTTAATGAAACACCCTATACAATAAATATTGTTGTGGTATCATATTTATTATTTTTATGTATAGCTATAATAAACATTTAATTAATTTGATTATTATTTGTAGATTATACAAACTATAACACAACCTAAAAAATATCGATGTGCTTCGTTCAGACCATTGCCTCAACCAAACTCAGAACCAATATCGTCCTTTATTTTAAGAGTGCCGCCATTATCGGTTACAAAATCACAGTCTAATACCACAAAATCTCCAGGATCAGCTTCAAAATCGTCGGTTTCAGTCAATAAATCACAGAATTCAGTTTCAAAATCACCGTCTTCAATTTTAGAACCGTCGTCTTCGGTCACTAAATCATCATCAACAGTTCAAAAAGTAACTAACTCATCACGTACAGCCAACAGATTTCCACCCGATTCATCTTTTAGTTTATTTAAGTTACCATTACAATTAATTTCGAGTTTATTGGTACCACTAATACCATCAACAATTAGACAAAACACGTCCACAATCATTTCACCACAATTTAATTTGCAGATGCCTTTAACAATCTCGACGTTTCATGACCCCAAATATATACCCTCAAATGTGCCTGTTGTGTGTAAAAATTTACCTAAATCTTGTAACTCTCCACCTAATGACACAAATAATTCAAATTACATTTTTTGTAATTCTCTACTAGGGAGTTCACATAAATCTATTGTTTATAATTGGATTTGCAACTCTTTGCTAAACAAGATTCAAAATGTAAATTGTACTGTTCCACCAATTGAATGTGACCCTCCTGAAGAACCTAATTCTTCCACGACGGTTAATCCTACGGTTACACCTATAACGACTGACTCTACTGTTACACCAACTGCTGGTACTACACCAACAGATATTACTACACCAACAGATAAAACTACACCGAAAGATAAGACTACACCAACAGTTATTGATACTACTACACCAACAGTTATTGATACTACTACACCAACAGTTATTGATACTACTACACCAACATCTACACCACAATATCCTATACCACCATGTACATCAAATACGTGCCATAGACCTTGTATACCACTAGTCCATATTCCAAAACCAAAACCAAAACCTTGTAGTTTACCAGTTACTCATTTGCATTCGCATATACCATTAAAGCATTATCCACCACTACATCATGCATCTTGTTCGCCATCTTACGCTTATTTTAATTCTTTGTTCGATTCTACAACTTACAAACCTGATGAAAACCTTGATTCAAATCTACAAAAGGACATCCTTTTAAAAATATTAAAAAGTTTGATTTCTAATTCTAATTTATAATCGCCGTCTACAAGTAAGTAATTTTTTTTTAAATTAACACTTTATTTGAATCTTAAATAGCATGATACGCACATCATATTATAAATGTTGGTCTGATATAAAAAATTATAGAATAGATTTATTTTAAATATTTATAACTATGAATATTATGATTAATATTAATTATTGTGATTTTATTATAATATTGACTTACAAATTGCAAGAAGTAATTTTAAAATCATATACTTATCTAATAACTTAATGGTGTTCACAAATAAAAGTTATGTAATGTTTTCCATACTAATTATTAATATTATTATAGTGATAAGCTTAGCATTTAAGATGTACGTAGATATTGTATATATTAATTTGTTTGCTTACAATTATCTTTTAGATATTTAAAACAAAAATGAACAATTATTATACTAATCTAAAATTATTTTTATTTAAAAAATCTTTTACATTTATATTTATAATGATAAAGTAAGTAGTTTTCCAATTGAATTATTATTAGGTAAGAACTATTTTATAACGATTATAAATATTAGTAATATTAATATATACCTAATCAAATGTATGGTCAGTATATTTGTATACAATATAGGTAGGTAAACTTTTTGTGGTTTTTTTTAATATATGTATGTATGTATATATATATATATATATTAATATAACTATTTACTAAATGAACTATATTATAATTCTATGTTATACCTTCCAATAAGAAATTCACGACGTGTGTAATAAAGCACCAGTACAGATTAGAACTGGTGTACTATTACAGGCAGTTAGCGCCAGTATAATGTCATATATCTATATGATAACGCTTTATCAGTATTGGCATTCCAGGACTGGCTATGTGTAGACTGTCAATACTAACCAAATATTGATAGCTATATGGTATATGTATAGGTACGCACTACGATTGCAATTTGAGGCAACATTGAACATTTCAGCCGAATGACTTTTAAATTTATTCGAATGTTTATAACTGCATTAAGGATTATTAATATTATTATAAAAAAAATTCAAGTTCTTGTAAATCATGCAACATATTTTGAATTGCGCCCACCAGGATAACAACTAACGTAAACACTTTTTTTCTGTCTTAAAAACTACACTCAATGGTTATGTAAAATTAATGTCAAAAATATGTATATAATTTATACGAATTAATAAAAATCATATTAAATTATGAAGTCAGATAAAGGTTTACATTTCACTTTTATTATTATAATTTTTCAGTTATTTGTAATTATTATTATTTTAATTCTATATACAATTTTGACTACACGAACTATTAAACTTCCAAGAATGATAATGATATAGTTAAAATTTGTTTCATTCTTTAATCTACCTAACCTATTTTTCTCACTGACATTGCCTAAAATTTGAAATTAAGTTTTTAATAAATTAGAAAATCATTTAAATCAATGAAATAGTCCAGTAAATAATAATAGATTAATAATCATACGTTAACTACATAATATATCTACGCGATTTGCTCAATTTTAATTCAATATTTTTTAAATATGATCAAAAAAATAGCTATTTTGATAATTTAAAAAACTGAAGTGCTTGAAATATGTTTCTTTTAAACTTTATAGAACTGAACCTTGAAAATAGAATTTAAAACTTTTATTATTCAATTATATATTTTTTTTACTAATTAGTAATTACCATAAAAAAACTGTATTTAAATATATTAATTTGTCATTGAAATATCTATGTATAAATGAACTGGACTTCTAGTTATAATTTTATTATTGTATAATAAAGACATAATGTTATACTTATTTTAATAAATTCTATCAGGTATATGTAGAAACACCTATAATAAGTATCTGTATATATTCGTTTTATTTAACGATGAATAATTATCCATCAATATTAACTAGACTATAAAATTGGTATATTAAATAACTAATATTATTATTTAGAGTAGCTAAATAACTTAGGTTTATATACTATAGATAAAAACCTAAATATAATCTACATGGTTTATAACATAAAATCTGCAATATTTACCTACGCAGTAATTATAACGATTATGACTACTCACGAAATTAGTTTCCTTATTGATACATATAAAAAATAATAACAGCTGATTAATTAGTTATTTGCTATTTAATAGGTTATAGGTTCTGCCTAAATTTCAAAATATTTTTATCAATTTAAAAATCGGCTGAGGGTGAGTTGCGGCCCGACTTGTCGTTTCCGGTGTTGATGACCGGTGAATTGCGGCCCGGTAATATTTTAGGTATAGGTTAGTTGCGGCCTGAATTATTATCATTACCTAAATTATATAAAAACAATGAAATTCCTTACAACAATCTTTAATGTTTATAATTGATAATGTTTTACTAAAGCTTAAAATAATTAACAATTTAACGCAAATTACTATTCTAAAAAAATGTACATTTTAATATTATATTTATTTAAGATTGTATTATTATCAATTATCGTTATATTATATTATTAATAATATTTTAAATTTAAATGAATATATTAGTTGTATACATTTATACTTAAACTAAACTTAAAAATTTGCTATCTTTTGTTAGATTTTATGAAACAGAACTAAAATAACTACGACAACACGTGCATGTCAGCACAGTGATTATTGGTAGCCTATTAGTATATTATTGTATTAAATTATATTAATTATAATATTTGTCATGATATTTATGTTGAGATCTAACAATTATACACCCACCCGGACTTGGCTACTAACTCATATATTTCAGACATGAAGCAATTGCTTCAAATAATCTTACATCCCACTGCCACATATATATGTAATATATATATATTATATATTGTATGGCCGCAATTCGTACGTACCTCTCATAAATCCGGGCCGCAATTCGTACGTTATTTTGGGACTGGGCCGCAACTCACCAACACCGGAAAAATCATATATTGAAACAAAATATTTACTATGTACCTATATACCTATCGAAAAATGAAATTACCAAACGATATAAATATAATATAACGTGCAAGAGTTGATATAGTTTTTTTGTAATACATGTTATGTATGTATAATATATACCTACGTATATCTATATATAAATGTAATTAGTGTTATTATATTCTACTATAATTAATAGAAGTTTATATATTTTTTATATTTTAAACATATTTATTAACATGGCAAAAGTCGATATTTTGTCAATATATGATTATAAGGCCGCACGTCCATTATCAATTATCAATGGTGCTGAGGTTCTTGTGCGATTAATATCCATAGTAAATATAAGACCAGGATCTCCAGCGCCATTGCCGTGTACGAGACTTTGTATCCGCAAAACTCTGTTCATCGGCATGCTTGTTCCGTTCACGGGTCCGTCACCTGCTGCTTCCAGGATCATTATGTCTAAACTTGTCAGATTTTCATCCATTTTATTTTAGAACATTTAAGAGTTATAAAAATAAAAAAGTATACTGTTTTTTTAAGTTTTTACAATTACATACAAATACTCAGCTGTTACCATAGATTTGATTTTATACAAATTATATGTGTATTTATATTTACAAAATGTGTTTGTTCTATCATGTATTATTAAATTATTCATGTATAGGTATCATCATAAAAGTTAAAAAATTTAAAATAATTTATGTATTCATATTAATATATGGTTACTTATAATTAGTTAAATAAGGTAATGCATATATAAATAGTTGTAGAATATTTAACAGATTAATGCGGAAATGAAAATGAATCATTATTTATTTACTTTTAAAATATTTCTATTATATAAATAATTTTTGAGTTATACCAGTCTATATGTATTTAAAATATGAATGTTGGTATAATTTTGTTAATATGATAGAATTTATATATAATAATATTTATATGAATTTTCATTGCAAACTAATTAAGTTCATATTAATACATAATATGTGAGAACAGCGCCTACCTAGCTATATATAATATTATACTATATAGACGTGTGGTCCGTTCTCCACAAAATAAAATAAATATAATAAATACTTCAAAAACTTACCGAAAAATGTATTATCCAACATGAGTATATAATTTAATAGTTTATACATTCCAAATAATAAAGAACTATAGTTCTTATATATGTAGAATGTTTTTTTTATTTTTAAATGTATAGACTACAGAATAATATAAGGTAAGTATGTGGCGCAAATTATATATTAAACGTAATCTGAAGATAATTACAAGAAATTTTAATTTTAAAATAAAAATTGAAAAATTATAATCATAAAAAACTTTAAAATATAGTTTGTCTTATTATAATCTTATATGAGTAACATATACATTTGTATATTCATAGTCTATTCATAGATAAGCTATTGAATTAAGAAATAGTTTTATACGTTTGTTAGATTACAATTATCAAATCCATTAAAATATTTTTTTAACTAAATGTTATATGTTTTTATACCAACTAAAAAACTGAAAAATCCACGAAGAGCAATAAACCCTACCAAAAATATCCTAAAAAAATATCTTACTCAAAAAACACTTTTATTTTTATTTGGATTTTCTCAAATAAGTCAAAAAAAAAAAAATTGTATTATAGTTATATTTATAATAAATAAAATGTATAATATTTAGAACCATTTGTGATGTGAATTGTGTGGGGATGGCTGAGAAAATGAATACCTATAAAGGCTTTAAACGTGTCTTAATCCAGCTATAAATGAGTATAATATAAATTTATTGTATATATAACCATATATATATATATATAGGCACTGGTTTTCACAAATATATTTATTTTTAAATATATCCAGATTAGTAGCTATAGCATTCTATACTGTAGCGAGCCTCTATATTGTTTTGCAACACTGCAGTAATTCGTATTTATGCAAATCATCTGGATTTGTTGTCAGAGCTTTGAATCAAACTATATATAACTATTAACTATAATAAAATTATCTAACTAATTATGATAGTTTTATGCAATGGTATATAAAGTGTGATAATTACAATTATATACAATAAATATACCTACTATTAGTATTATTATAATATACTTATTAAATTAACAAATATAGACTTTTGATTTTTGTTTTGAAAATATAAATTATATAGATATTTTTATAATTTTCTGGTAGTAGGTATATATCTACATTTA